TTCAAATCTGTACAAAAGTAGTTACTAAAAACAACCAACCAAAAATAAATTTGCCTTAATGGTCAAAATTGAAAAACGTATTCACAAACTAATAAAGAAACAAATTCTATCTACACTAAATCTGATTATGCAAAATCATATTGATTCTAGATAAGACAATTTGAACCAAAAAAGTGCAGAAGAAAACATTTGTATTTCACTTGAATAGGCAATAAGAAGAAAATATTCTTATGCAAAATTTATCTTAAGATTGTTGGAATAATTCTTATGTGTATGGTGTGAAACACGTAATCAATTGCACCAAATATTATTACCAAATTAATATATAAAAAATATAAGTTGAATATACGTAAATTGTTTGGGTTAAAACCAAACAATCATTTACCGAGAACCAAAATTACTTACAGAGAAGTAAAAACTTACAAACAGATTTGTAAAAATTTGGAAACGAAAAACAATTTGATCAAGGCTCATGTTGGACATAATTTCCTTAAGACAAATTCGTCCCTCGCTACGGTGCTCACAGAGTTTTTATTGGACGTTCATCTCCCAGAATATAACGATCGAACCATGTAGGCAGTAACACTACCACGACAAGTCTAACACAAACCTTACTGTGGAGAATTCTCTTAACAGAAAGAACAGAGTGTAGAAGGAAAGAAACACAAGATGATATTCCAATCCCAAAATAAATCAAATTTTACATTAAATAAATATTGTCTAAAACCATACTCAAATAGTGCACTTTGAAGTCAATTTCTCATTCAACTATTAATGGTTTCCAAACACATTTTTCCAACAATTTTTTCATCAGTTAATGAAACAATTATCTGGAAATATTACTATGCAAAATGATAATGTTCTTAGTTTTAAAAATTGAAAAAAAACTGATAATATTCTCAATTTTATTAAATAGGACTTATTGGTTCAAAAAATATTAGATAGGACTTGAGCTATCATAATATTTGTAAATAGAACTTTTAGATAATTAATTCTAAAATATATGAGCAGAGCTATATATATATATAGATATAGAGAAATTATAACAATCATTCCTTTAAAAAATGGTATCATGTGCACGTTAATTATTCTATTTTCTTATTAATTATGATATTTTCTTATTAGTTATAATATTATTTTAATTATAATTAATGAGTTCTTTAGTTATATCTTATATTATGTTTAGTTATG